CACGTAATCATTCACTCTTTTCTTCCTCTATCTCAAACCTCCTTCCTATCTCTCTGATCACTCATTATTTGCCCATTTTTCTCACTTCAAATTTCATATTGTAATTACTATTTGACCTTGAAGTGGCACAAATAGTGTGCTTGCTGTTTTAGGTTTGTTTTGGGGGCATTGTGGTCCTTTTACCCTCAACCCTATGTCCCAAACACCCATCTTCCGTACTTAAAATCACCATTTTACCCTTCGATTTCCTTCCATAAATTCCCTCCTGCATTAGGTAGTGAGGGGCAAAATGGTTATTTAATTATTAAGCTATTCTTTCTTCTTTTCTTTGGCTGGCATTTAGGAGGTTGTGTTTCAAAGTTTTCCCTTTTCTGCTTTACACTGGTCCTTGCTCCCTTCACCTGTTACTCATCCACTGTTTTCTTCTGTCCTTTTCTCTACTGTTATGAAAAGAATATACTAGCTATTTTTTTTTTTTTTTTGAACATGGTTACATTGTTCGGGGAAAGGGGAATGGATTGATCTCGATTCCAAGACCTATGAGAAGTCCTATGCGGGGAGTTACCACTTACTCTATCAAAGAGTTTTCACTAGCTATTTTTTTTTAATAGTTTACAATTCAAGGGAGAAAGATTTATCTAAAGTATCGATGGGATTGAAACCTAATCAATTAATCTAAATATCTTAAGAATTAAAGGTGAATCATTAATACCAAAGTTTAATTCAAAATATATTAACTATTGTTTGTTATCATTTCATTTTGATTTTTGTACTTCGTGAAATTAACAGGCAATTCATTTTACCCACTTTTTTTTATTGTTAATGTCAATTTTCATCCCTCTACTATCAAAAATAGTATTAATATTTAATAAAGTAAAATTAGTAGGCAATTCATTTTAGCTCCCTTTTTTCTTTGTCTGGCATTAATTCAGAATATACTAGCTAGTGTTTGTTATCATTTTGATTTTGATTTTTGAACTATTTTTGATAATAAATTTTGAGTGCTTTATTTTAAAAAATTTATTAATTGACTTAAATTTTCCTACATCTGCATTGCGGTGTACAAATTGCTAATGTTAAGTAGTACACGCAAGGTAAAGTCAACTCCATTTTTTTATTTTTGCTCTCTGTACTTCTCTTGTCTCCCTCAAAATAAGTATGATTTTGTGTCAATTTCATAAATATTTTGATTTTTAAAAATATTTTAGCAGGTAAAAGTTTTAAGTTGACTAATGTTAATTGACGTAATTTTTGTAAAATTTTTATTTATTTTGTAAATACATTTTATTTAATTTATATTTTTTCTATTTATATGGAAAAATTTTTTATTCTTTTAAGGCTATTTTTGTAGTACTTATTTTTTTTACTTTATATATTTATGTGAAAACATTTTTTTAGTTTAATTTTAGAATTAAGAATTTTTTTAATTTACATCCTTATGGCACATGCATGTTAAAAGTATAATTATTATATTTTTTATATTAATTAATATT